TTACAGATGGTTGTGAGCCACCATGTGGTTGCTGGGAATTGAACTCGGGACCTTTGGAAGAGCAGGCAATGCTCTTAACCACTGAGCCATCTCTCCAGCCCCAGAAGGATCTTTAGGAATCCCTATGTGACTTGAACAGACTGTCCCCATTTCCACCAGAAGCAGACAGCACAGCTGAGGTGGATGGGTGTCCTTTGTAGCCTGGCTCCCAGAAATGCTTTGTCTTTCTCTAACAGCACATGGCGGACACCTACTTGGTCTGTGTTTGAATATTTCCTTCTCTTCTCTCTACCTCCCTTCTTTTCAATGAGAGGACCAGGGTTTTAGCCTTTTGCATCCACCTAGACTAATGCTCTATCATGAGGTGGCACCTTTAAGGTGATGCTGAGCTTTTGTCACCTTGACACTAACCAGTCACTTGGGATGATGCCCCCATCAGATTGCCTGGAAGCAGGGTTGTGGGAGGGCCCAGCATGGGGCCACTTCTAGGTGGTGGTCCTGGGTGGTGTAAGAAGGCAAGCTGAGCAATCCAAAGGGAACCTGTCAGTAAGCAGCCTTCCTTTGTGGCTCAGCCTCAGTTCCTGCCTCCACCTTTCTGCCTTGAGCATCTCCCATGACTTGTTTTCTTGCTGGTTAGCAAGCTGTAAGGAGAAGCAAGTCCTCTTCTCCCCATGTTGCTGTTGGCCGTGGTGTTTATCACAGCGACAGAGAACGGGTAATCTAGGAGGAGGACCTAAACAAGCTGCTGGGCACGACTTCTGTGACAACTCCATCCATATGCCCTTTCCTTCTCTTCATTCTCCTTCTCCTTTAAGAAAGTCCCACTGAGTATCCCAGGCTGCCCTTTGACTCACGATCTTCCTGCCTCAGGCTCTAAAGTACTAGGATTATAGATAGGCATGTGCCCCCACGCCCACGCACTCTTCTCACATGAAATGACCCCATCAAGGAATGAGACCCATGGTCTATTTTCTTGAACCCTGTCCTAGTTGGTTTTATCACTATGAGGGGGCAGGTGAGGCAGGTTAAGTTACTGCGAATAGGTTAATTTAGTTCCTAGTTTAGGGGTTCAAATCTCTAGATCAAGTGCTCTCTTGGTTTGGCCTTTGGTGAAGATGAAGGATAACATCGTATGGCGGAATGTAGGTGTAGGAGCAAGTGACTGCAGCTTAAGCCAGGAAGTAAGGAGTGGGATAGGCTTCCCCTTTTATTTATTTGTGTGTGTGTGCGCGCGCATATGCATGCATGTGTGCACGCCTGTGGAGATCTGAGAAGAGAGTACCAGGGTTCTTGGAGCTGAGTTACAGCAGGCACTATCCAGCATGGGTGCTGGGATCTGAACTCCAGTCCTCACGATGGACCAGCTTCCGAGCTCTGACTACCTTGATTTTCCTGCTGTGATGGGGTATAACCAGAACTGTGCACCTAGGGGTGTAACCTAGAGCTGTGCACCTAGGGGTGTAACCTAGAGATGTGCACCCAGGGGTACAATGAGCAAACCTTTCTCCTGTAAGTTTGCCAGAGTATGTCATCACAGCAACAGGGAAAGAAACTAAGCACATCCTTTTCATCCTTGTCACCTCTGGACCCCCTGCCACAGCAAGAGCTTCCCTCAAAAGGGCTCTTGAGAGGGACTCGGGCTCTAGGACCTGACAACTTGGGGAGACAGATGGCATCCTTTCTGGCAGTGTTCACTGAGACTCACAGCACCCAGACACAACTTGGAAACCTTCCTGCCCTTCAAATAGAGAGTGCGATGTCATCCAGCACACAGTTGATCTATGTCTTGTGCACACCATGCTAATGACAAGAAAACACGTGAGAGTAAATGCAAAAGGACCCTGAGGATCCAGGCTATCAGAGTAGTCAGCCCCACAGCCAAAGGTTCTAGATCCCAGAGAGGGTCTCCAGGATGGTGAGTCAGAACCTGCCACAGATGCCACTTCCCTGGCAATGACTGGCTGTGAAACATGGGGGCCAGTGGGAACCAAAAGCTGATCTCTTCTTTAGTACCCAAATCCACTTTGCCAGTGAGCTAGATGCACTGGGAAAGTGATTCATGGGCTTGAATCACCAAATTAGCAAGAATCCAGAGGTAGTAATTAGGCAATGTCAAGTCCTTGCTCTTCTCATTGGCTCTGTGTGATGGCAAACAAGTCA